TCATTCCTTACTTTCTGCCTTTGTTTGTGTCAGTCTTTCTGCAGAAGATCTGTGTAGAAATCCTATGTAGATTGCCTAATGTGCTCCCTAAACCTATGAGCTCTGTAGGCTTCACAAAACCAGAGAATTCCCTAAGCATAGGTTCTCCATGAGGGATCTGAATTTGATGCAACTTTTGATCCAAATGGGCCTAGAGAAGACCCAAAGAGGGTTCCCAGACAGCATGGGAAAATCAGGTAGAGACTCATGCCTGGATATCCCATGAACTGTGTTTCCTGAAGAATGGCATTACCAAACAGCATCTTTAGTTTGCTGTCTACTCTGGCTGCTATGGAAAACATCTACCAATACTCATGTTCTGACTGCTATTGGCCCCACACTTTCTTCTTGTCTGCAGCTGTCTTCAGGTGTTGTCCTAGGGGATACCTGTGATGATTCCTGTTGGCTAAGAGGGGCAAGGTTTTTTCAAAGGGAATCAGGATGGCAAGGTAACTACTAGTCTGCCCCCAACTTTTTTTTCTCCTGTGACTCCAGGAGATTTCTCTGTAGGCAATATTTTGAAAGCTTAGGGGAGGGGCAGGATAGTTAAAGAGAACCTTCCCCTTACCATCTTCTTTTGGCTTTTCTCAGCTCTGCAGCTCAACAAATTGTCACAGCCTGAACTTTGAGATTCTGGATGATAATCTTGGACTTCAATAATTGTTAGCTGAGTTTCTCAGGAGAAGAATGATGACATAAAGATTCCATCCTAGTATGTTGCTGTCATTCCTTTTATTCCATTTTTAAAAAATCAAGCATATTGGCAAATCCTTCTTTGTCAACTTGTCATGCTGCATGATTGGTTTTTCTAATTCTTTCATCAATCACTGAGAAGCCATTAAAATAATTCATAGTATCATTCCATAAGTTCTTCTAGCTGGCATTTACATTCCCTGGTTTTAATTTATTCATTGCAGCTTTGATTAATATTATGGCTTCAGCACCATGGAATAATTTCAAATGCTGCATTATGTGCAGGTTAGAGTCTTCACCAATTGTTGGTTAAATGCAATTAAATACCAGGGAAGTGTATGTGACCTTGACAAATTGAATAATGCCTTGGTTAAAGGTATTGAATCAATGAAGTTGTGTTTGGAGGTAAAAAAGCAATCCTTATATTTTCATTCCCATAGCAAATAGGTTCAGGATGATTTGGTGCATTGTCTATTATTAATAGGACTTTGAATTCCAACACTTTCTCTTATAAGTATTTTTTTCTCTTTTTCATTTCTGGGGTGAAGGATTGATGGACCCACCCCATAGACAAGATGGTTGTTACCAGTGCTTTCTCATTATGTTCTTAGAAAATTGGTAAATAATTTCTGTTCTTGTTTTTTTTTGTGTGTGTTAAAATGGGTTTTTTAATCTACACACCACACTCTGACTAATCTGCTTTACATAATGTCACATAGTATCAGAGTTAATTTGTCTTTCCATGTTTTATGCCCCAGTGCCTTCTTTGTACTTTTATGCATATAGATTATCAAACATCTTCCTCCAGAAGAGTTCCAATTTATTGCAAATTAAGGCTCTCTATAGATGATATCTTTTCTCCTTAATCACCTTCTCCAACTCTGTCAGAAATGTGGCAGCAGATTTTTCATTTGTAGATAGAGCCTATCCAATAATTTTAATACTTTTAGTTCAAACCTATTCCTGAATATTTATAACTGTTTCTTATTGTAAATGACCTGGTATTATTCGTTTCCAGGGTACTTTCACTGATGTATTTATATGGGCTCAAAGGTTTCTGGTGCAACATGCTGCTGTTAACCAGAACAATTTTTCTGTTTGTGTCTTTAAACCACAAATTTAATGTATTTCATTCTTAACTTTTACTTTTCATATACTGTGGCCAAAATATTTTGGAGTATGAGATGTGACAAAGTGGTGCAAATATCTTTTTCCTACTTCACAATTTCACAGATAGAAGATTGATTCTTCCCATAGATCTTAACAAGCTCAGCAATACAATGTTTTTCTTTCTTTATTAAGTTGAAAACTTTCACTTTTTTACTTAAAAGGAAGCACTTTATAAACTTCTCTTTGGCATCTGAGTTGCCAGCAGCACAGCCTTTTCATCTTGCAGCCATTATTAAGCAAAATAAAAGATTAGTTGAAAACAAGCCTGTAAGAGCATGATAGTTGATCTTACAGCAGAGTGACTAATGGAAGAGTAGTTTTTACAGTGTGGATATATTGGACAAAGGGATGATGATATCCTAGGAAGGATGGAGTAGGACAGCATATTTCATCTCATTTTTTGGAACAGTATGCAATTTAAAATATAATTTATTTCTAAAATTTTCCATTTAATGTTTTCAGATTGCAGTTAACTATGGGTAACTGAAGGCACAGAAAGAGAAACTTCAGATAAAGGAGGATTACAATATATTATCACTCTTATTTAGAATTTCATAAAACAGACAAATTTTTTAAAAGTTTTATTACTGTTTTAGAATTATCTACAGACTATGCACCTCTCTATTGTCAGTGTTCTGGCTGGATTAAATAGGATAAATATCAATTGGTAGAATATTTTCATTAATTAATAATAACAGCCAAGGGCATAATTTATGAAAATTCAGTTACCTAGAATGGAATTATCAACAGCTTGAGAAAAAGTGTCTTACACAATGTGCTTCTATTTTGAAGGAATTTTGCAGACGGTATGAATTATTCATAGAGTAGTTATGCAGTTTTCTTTTGAGAAACATAGGGAAAAGTAGAGAATATTTTACATAAGACCTTATACAAATTATGTTATTCATTATTCAGAATAATGACTCTTAGAAATATTACTTTTTGATCATCAAAGAACTGGAAGATGGCATTACATATTCAGTTTCAAAGTTCTTAGACATAAACAATAGAAATAGTCTGGGCAATTTAAGCAAAAAATATTTTATTAGCAGATGAATGTCAAATTTTGAGAAGATAATTATAGCAACTAAAATTGGCATAGAATTAATGTCTAGAGGGAACTCATAAATCAACAAAGAAAAGCTAAAAAAAAAGAAAGAAAAATGGCCTCAGGAGTGAAACCTAAAAGCCTAAAAAATATAACAAGGGAACAAATTGAACTTGTAGTCATGGAAATTAAATGCACTTGACAAACATCAGTTTATAAAATGTAAGAAGGTAGAATGATACTAAGCATTGGTACTAGTATATGCACACATGGTAGAAGAATAGACTGATGTAGCCATTGTGCATATTTCTGATAATCCATAATCTTCTTTTCAGTGTAAACTCCAGAGACACAAATATGTCCATGAAGGGATCGGGATGAAGATGTTTATTGTAGCATGGTTAGAGGGAGTTAGATGCAACCCTATTATTAGGAGAAGGAACAATAAAATATAATAAAGATTATCATTATTAAGATTATTATTGTGTAGTTGATACAATGAATTACAGGTGCATAAAAACATACAGGTGCATAAAAATATAAAAAACACATATAGATATTATCAGTATGTTTAGTGAAAAGTATAAACCAAATATATATACATGTGTGTGTGTGTATGTGTGTGTATATATATATGCCAAATAAATAGCTTATTATGTATATATATATTATATGTGTATATATATATGTATATATACATATATATATGTATATATACATATATATATGTCAAATAAATAGCTTGGCACCATTTATGTAAACTTTAAAAATCCACAGAATACCTGAAAAAACGGCATGATAATATACAGGTAGATAGACAGATTCCCCACATGTACACCAAGAGTATTAAAGTAGTTAGTTATATTGATGGTGGTAGAAAGAATGAATAAAATAATGAAATAACAAAATAAGACAGGAGAACATTCTATGATTATGGTAAAAGAATTTAATTTTGTCAAATTTTGTTTGGATTTGAGATTAAAATTAATAATTTGATATCAGTATATCCATTAATTTCTGAGGATAGAGAATCTTGCTTTACTAGTTTTGTGATCCCTCCAAAAATACCCAGAATCAGGTCAGAGGACTGCTCCAGTGAGGGAGCTACAGCAGCTTCAGCTGCAGTGCCAATCCTGCTGTACTGGATGCTACAGGCTGCCACTTGAACCTCTGCACTATTGGCCAAAGAATTTTATCTTTCTGTTTCAGGGAGAATCCTTTTCAGGCCTGGATTAGCCTTCAGTTCAAAAACGGGATTGATGTCATGTTCCATTAAGTAAATAGGAGATGTCCACCAAGGATTCCCAAACACTAAGGTCCAGAAGCAACCAGTTATTCAGCTATGAACCTGATCCCAACGGGTACAGAACTGGAACAAGGAAAGGAGGTGTTTTTTATTACCCTCTTTGCTGATGGAGTTCATATGAATGATGATGAACAGAACTTCCTCAGGAAGTTGTTTCTTCAATTTTCAGAAATTTACATTGAAGTTTGGAATAAATGTGAGATGAAGAGGTGGACCTGTGTTATTACTAAATTTTGTTAAACACCAAAACCATATGTACAAATGCACATTCAGATGGTATATCCTAAAGTAAGAATATTTAAATTATTTATAAACTGATGTTTCAATGTTGCCATGCCATCTGTTGTGTTCATATATTCTGTCATATAGAGAAATATAAAGAGACAGGGAAAATTTTACTAGGGACATGAACAGGCAGTACAAATGGTGTTGAAAGTCTTTATACAAAGATTTTCATGGAAGAAGGGAATTGAAAGAGAACGGTACTTAGGAATGATAGCTTTTAAGTCTAATTAGAATTATCCAAGAGCATATTGTCTTCAACTATTTTCTACCCTTTTAATATTTTATGGTAATAGTATAATTTTTATTCTGTCTGCCAAAGATTCCTAGAAAAAAGAAAGTGGTAAAGCTCAAAATCATAAAATTTTTATTATAAAAATTTTAATGGAATGTAATTATCATTTAAAATGATTAGCAGGAACTTTCCAGAACGCTCGGTGAGAGGCGGAGGAGCAGCGGCTGCCCGGGCTGCACACAGTTACGCACTCCTTCACACTCCCTCACAACGGCCCCAGCCGCTCACCGGCTGTAGAAAATGGTGAAAGAAACCACTTACTATGATGTTTTGGGGGTCAAACCCAATGCCACCCAGGAAGAATTAAAAAAGGCCTACAGAAAACTGGCCTTGAAGTACCACCCTGATAAGAATCCAAATGAAGGAGAAAAGTTTAAACAGATTTCTCAAGCTTATGAAGTTCTCTCTGATGCCAAGAAAAGGGAATTATATGACAAAGGAGGAGAACAGGCAATTAAGGAGGGTGGAGCAGGTGGTGGTTTTGGCTCCCCCATGGACATCTTTGATATGTTTTTTGGAGGATGAGGAAGGATGCAGAGAGAAAGGAGAGGTAAAAACGTTGTGCACCAGCTCTCAGTAACATTAGAAGACTTATATAATGGTGCAACAAGAAAACTGGCTCTGCAAAAGAATGTGATTTGTGACAAATATGAAGGCCGAGGTAGTAAGAAAGGAGCAGTAGAGTGCTGTCCCAACTGCCGAGGTACTGGAATGCAAATAAGAATTCATCAGATAGGACCTGGAATGGTTCAGCAAATTCAGTCTGTGTGCATGGAGTGCCAGGGCCATGGGGAACGGATCAGTCCTAAAGATAGATGTAAAAGCTGCAATGGAAGGAAGATAGTTTGAGAGAAGAAGATTCTGGAAGTTCATATTGACAAAGGCATGAAAGATGGACAAAAGATAACATTCCATGGTGAAGGAGACCAAGAGCCAGGACTGGAACCAGGAGATATTATCATTGTGTTAGATCAGAAGGACCATGCTGTTTTTACTCTACGAGAAGACCTTTTCATGTGTATGGACATACAGCTGGTGGGAGCATTATGTGGCTTCCAGAAGCCAATATCTACTCTTGATAATCGAACCATAGTCATCACCTCTCATCCAGGTCAGATTGTCAAGCATGGAGATATAAAGTGTGTGCTAAATGAAGGTATGCCAATTTATCGTACACCATATGAAAAGGGTCGCCTAATCATCGAGTTTAAGGTAAACTTTCCTGAAAATGGCTTTCTGTCTCATGACAAACTCTCTTTGCTGGAAAAACTCCTACCTGAGAGGAAGGAAGTGGAAGAGACTGATGAGATGGATCAGGTAGAACTGGTGGACTTTGATCCAAATCAGGAAAGACGGCGCCATTATAATGGAGAAGCATATGAGGATGATGAACATCATCCCAGAGGTGGTGTTCAGTGTCAAACCTCTTAATGGGGCCAGTGAATAACACTCACTGCAGGCATTTCATATGCAGTAGTGAATGAGTGAAGGACTATAATCATAATATGCTCACTACTTGCTATTGTTTTTGTTTTAATATTCAATTATAGTAGTGTTTTAAAAGTTAAATGAAGAATAAACGCAAATATAAAAGCTCTGACTTTGCCCTGTATGTATGATGACTTTAGTGTGCAAGAAGTTGTTTAATACCTGTAAAAACTACTTTTAAAAAAGTTCCCCTAGCATCTGTTAGGCCCATACCTTGTAATTGATTTCAGCTGTGTATGTGGACAAACTTAGACTGAAATACTAGGTATATGTGTTGATTTCAGTGTATGACCCTTCATTGTTAAACTATAAAATTAAAACTCTGTATTTAACTTGCAATCAGAAAAAGAAAACTTAATTTGTAGAGGAGTGTTGGTCTGTCTAGTTATTTGTATTAAGTGGGACTCTTGTGATGACTCTGCATTCTATTGCCTCAACTTACTTGAAGGTGACATAATGTATAATTTTGCTTCTGGTATCAGTGAAAGAAATGATACCTTTCAAAAGATGGGGTTTATCATTATATGCTGCTACTTAAGGGCTTGCACTTGTAGAATTGCATTCCCTTCTATTGTGCCATCTTTTAAAAAAAAAAAAATATATATATATATATATATATATATATATATATATATATATATACACACACACACACACACACACATACATACATACACACACATATATACAAAACTGTGTTGACCAGTCCTGGTTACATTTTTCCCTTCTCTTTGGACCATGGTAAGCCCTGGTAGTGAAATCCAGACCTATACATGGAAAAGTAGTTTGCATGTATAATATAGGAAGGTGTTCCTTAGGTATGTTACAGGCTTAAACCACTTGACTTATGCTCCAAAGTAACTGTAATTTGATGTTGGTAGTCTAGCAAATATGATGAATAGCTTTAACTGTATGTTTAAAAGTCATCATATGTTCACATGCTTAAATCTGGATATCAGAATTTAAGCAATTCTTGAAATGTATGAATGTCTCCTTAATATACTGATTACAAAGCAAAAAAAAAGTAAAATGATTAGCAGCTTTTATTTTTATAAATTGTCCTATTGACTCATTATATGTTTCCTCTTTTGTTCATATGAAATATTTAACTACTACTATTCTTCATAGATGAGTCATCTTCATTGAAATGTGAATGTTCTGTGTCATGGTGTGTGTGCACATGCATGCTCCTCTGTGTGTGCATAATCAGCCCTGTGTGTAGAAGCGCGCATATGTGTGTGTGATGTGTGTGTGTGTGTGTGTGTGTGTGTGTGAACTTCGTGTTATGTGCACGAGTACTGAGTGAATTCCCACAGGTGACCTAAGCTGTGTATCAAAGAAAGCACAGGATAGGAGGGCTACCCAGAGCGGGGAAGGGCGGCTGGGGGCCCCGGGCACGGAGGGCGACGGAGCTCCAGGAGCCCGGGACAAGTCCAGGAAGAAGAAGGGGAAGCCGCGCTTTGGGAAAGGGCTCCCAGTCTGCTTGCCACCCGACGCTGCTCAGTGTTTTACTACTGTTAGTGAAAAGAGGTATGCCTGGAATGTGAGAGAAGATGGCCGCTGCGCACGGGGGTTGATGAAGTGCTGAGCGTGGTGCTCAGAGCAGCAGCTTTAAACGAGATTTCGCGCAGCGTGTAAGAGCTCCTTTCACCGTTAATCTGTAGCGGACCACTTTGCCAAGCAGCAGGAAGAACAAAGAGATCGAAAAAGAGACGCTTGGCTCCCGGACGCTTTGCCGCCCAGAGCCGCGGGCGGGTGCTTTGCTCCCATCTGCTTCCTCTTTCTCTTCGCTCTGGGCAGAGAAGCTGAATGTGTAATCAGCAGTGGATTGTAAGTACCCGAAGCAAAGAAAGCTCAGTGCGCCCCGCCTTCCTTTTTTTTTTGAATATTTTTTATATAGGGAGAGTTTGTGGATTGGGATTGTTGGCGGGGCTGTGGTTTCTGTGCTGAAAATCCACTCCGCGGGAGCTGCCATTTGCTCTCTGATTGCTGTCTTGATGGCTCTGTCTACATTGTCCGGCAGCCACATCTAGAGGTTGGAGCTGGGCTGCGTGCGGAGCCCTGTCCTCCGAAGGCTGGACCGCGGCCTCGAGCGCCTGGGTTGCCTGTTCACTGCTGCACCTTCTGGCAGAGCCTGCTCTGGGGTTGTTCTGCATCCCCCTGCGAGGGGACCCGTGCTCCGGAGGAGGGGGCCGGAGAGCCGCGGCGGCAGCCCCTTGGGCCCCGGGGGCCAGGCACTGGGCGGCGGCGCCGCTAAGGTCGCACCCGTGAGCGCGGCCCCGGGGCAGAGGCGAGGGCGGCAGGGTTTCATTTCTAGAAATCTGGACTGGAAACAGAAGTAGCAGTTTGTATAATCCCAAGAACTTGCTTATGCCAGGAAGCTGTAAGGGCAACATGAATATCATTGAGGAGATCTAACATGGCAGCGGGTGGGGAGAGATCAAGTCTCTGACCTCTTCAACTGCGCGGGCATAGGGAGCTGTAAATTGTATAAATGCTGATTGCTCAGGATCACTAGGCAATTCTGAGCTGACGTGGATCTGGGGTGTATAGTCTGGGCCCCTCAGAACACACGCACCGAGCCAGGATCGGCTGCATTCAAGCTCCGGTTCGCCTGCTTCTCCTGACTCAGCACTAATGATCCCGCTGAAATAACTGGTTGGCCCTTATGAACTTACAGAGGTAAAAGCCAACCGAGCCTTCATAGGCAGTGGCCACAGGATTGAAACGGGGATTGGGAGAGACAGTCAGGACCCACCTGTTGCATTGGTCACCCGGCAAAGGGAACGAACGGTCACCAATTGCATGGGATACCACCTTGGCAGAGAACTGACGTCATAGGCGGAGGAGATAACTGCATTGAAACCAGTGTGACACAGCTCTCAGGAGCAGCAGACCTGGCGTGTAGCCAGTATTGTGGTGAGTGTCACAGGTGAGCACGGCCTGGCTTGAGGAAACACAAGAGAAGGCCCTAGGCACTCAGGATTGGAGACCCGCGCAGTCTGTGAGGAAGAGCTGCTGCACAGTGACTGGTTCCCACCTATTGAGGGGAGAAGCTTGAACAAGTGGGCACAGCTCCACCTACTGGAAGAGAAGTTAATCAAACTCTATGACTGCATTTATTATTATTATTATTATCATTTTTTTTCTTTTTATTTTTCTTTTTCTTTTTTTCTTTCATTTTCAATTTATTGTTTTTATTGTTCTTTAACTTTTTTTAATGTTTTTAATGTTTTTAAATTTTTAAATTTTATTATTATTATTATTTTTTTAAATTTTAATTTTCATTATTTATATTATCATTATTATTTTTGTAAAAAAATTTTTTTTCTTTTCTTTATTTCTTTATTTTCTAATTTTTTTTGTGTGTTTTGTTTTTGTTTCTTTTGTCTTTTCATTTCTTTTCAATTTTCTTATTCCCCCTTCCTTGAATTCTACCTGCCTACTCTCATTCTCTTTAGTGACTTCTTCCCTTCCCTTCTAATATCTTTCCTCCAAGCATCAAATAAATTTATAAGAGTAAACAGTAACTCAGCAAACAGAACAAGAAGTAACATGAGCAGCATAAAAAAGCAAGGAAGAAAAGGAGTACAAACAATGAAGGACAGCCTAAATATTCAGGAGGACCTAGAGTCAGCAGAAAAATGGTCATATAAAGAACTCAAGGAATACCTTAGACAGATGGAATGGAACCTTAAAGAGGATACGAGACAGCAAATCCAAACAGTGAAAGAACACTTCGAAAATGAATTACATAAACAGATAAAAGAAGAAGTTAAGCATCTTTATCAGGAGATAGAGATTATAAAAAAAATCAAACAATAACTCTAGAAATGAAGGAAACGATAAACCAAATTAAAAACTCAATTGAGAGTATCACTAACAGAGTGGAGCAAGTAGAAGCCAGAACGTCAGATAATGAAGACAAAATATATCATCTTGAAAAGAGCCTAGCCAACTCAGAAAGGCTGGTTAAAAATCACGAGAGAAACAGCCAAGAGATATGGGATAACATAAAAAAAACCAAACTTAAGAGTCATCGGGATAGAAGGTACAGAGATTCAAACCAAGGGAATGAGTAACCTGCTGAATGAAATAATTACAGAAAACTTTCCAGAAATAAAAAAGGAAACGGATATACAAATTATAGATGCATACAGGACACCGAGCACACAAAATCACAGTAGACCAATGCCAAGACACATTGTTATGAAGGTATCCAATATACAGAACAAAGAGAAAATATTAAAAGCTACAAGAGAAAGGAGGCAGATTACATTCAGGGGTAAACCAATAAGGTTAACAACGGATTTTTCATCACAGACGCTGAAAGCAAGAAGATCCTGGAACAACGTATTTCAAACACTGAAAGACAATGGATGCCAACCAAGAATTCTGTATCCAGCAAAATTAAGCTTCAGGTACAACAACGAAATAAAAATCTTTCATGATAAACAAAAGCTAAAAGAATTTGCAGCCAGAAAACCAGCATTGCAAAGCATCTTGAGCAAAACACTACACGAGGAAGAAATGAAAAACAATAACCAAAACCATCAGTGGGAAGTGCCTCTATAAAAACAGAGGGCGGGGGGAAAGCTAACCATGGAGAAACAAACTAAATTAAATAAAAAAAAAGAAGATAAATAATCAAACATGGCTGGAAGTACAAACCATATATCAATAGTAACTCTAAACGTTAATGGCTTAAACTCTCCAATAAAGCGACATAGGCTGGTAACATGGATTAAAAAAACAAATCCAACAATATGCTGCCTCCAGGAGACACATCTGATTGCAAAAGACATACACAGGCTGAAGGTGAAAGGTTGGGAAAAAATATACCATGCACACGGTCCTCGTAAGCAAGCAGGGGTGGCCATCCTCATATCGAATAAAATCGACTTCAAGACTAAGTTAATCAAAAGGGATAATGAAGGACATTATATACTGTTAAAAGGAACCATTCACCAACAAGACAAAACACTTATCAATATATATGCACCAAATAATGGTGCTGCGACATTCATAAAACAAATTCTCCTCAAGTTCAAGAATCAAATAGACCACAACACAATAATTATGGGTGACTTCAATACACCTCTCTCACCATTGGACAGATCCTCCAAACAAAAATTGAATAAAGAAACTATAGAACTCAATATCACAATCAACAACCTAGACTTAACTGACATATATAGAATATATCAACCATCATCAAGAGGATATACTTTTTTCTCACCAGCACATGGATCCTTCTCAAAAATAGACCATATATTATGCCATAGGGCAACCCTCAGTAAATATAAAGGGGTGGAGATAATGCCATGCATTTTATCTAATCATAATGGAATGAAACTGGAAATCAATGA